CTTTTTAAGAAAGTTGTTCTGGGTATATCTGTTGCTACATGGTTGAATATAAGTGAGTTAGAAACAGTATTATTATTATTATTATTATTTCTCTTATTTTAGTTCATAAATTTATGCCTTTTGTTTTCTGTGCGTGTTTTTATTCTTTGAAAAATCACACTTTGAAAGACGACTAGTGGAAGACGTGTTTTTGCTCTGGATAAGAGAAATAATATATTTGATGTATTTGTCATTTATGTGTTAATATTTCCTTTTAACTCACCAGGTCGAGTGATTAAATTGAAATAAAAATAAAAGTTGCATGACTAAAATCTTAGATAAGGATAGCGGTGAAGCTTGCCTTATTAACGTAAACATGATGCGAATTGTCTTGAAAAAGAACTAGATGATGAAAAAAGGATACAAATTGTCTTCGAATAAAACTAGACAAGCTTTGGTAACAGCAGTATTTCAAGTTGCCAATCATAAAGCGTGGCTTGGCCAACAGTGGGCCAAGAAATATTGAAGGGTGATGTAGGTAGGAGTTTTCGAAAAGCAAAGTTGAATTTTAACCTTGACATGATTTCGCAAAATTATAGTCCGTTTAGAATTTCGACTTTAAAATTTGATCATTCCTTGAAGTTTGTGTGTAAATGTTTAAAAATTTGGATCAAAAATTTATTATCAACTTTTCAATCATATATTTTTCAATTTTAATAAAAATTTATTAACATTTTTATCAAGAACTTTGTCAATTAATATCTTAAAGCACTACTTCGATTTTACTTTTTTTTTTTTTTTTTCAAACACATAATTATTAAGAAGGGGAGGTAGAACTGGTCTCTCCGGAATAGGTGTATCAAGTGAGTGAATGCATCAGATTATTCTGATCCAATGGTCCTAATTGACAGCTCCCAACTGCTCTGCGATTTTCCACATGGACGAGAGTATTTGATAAACTAACTTACCAATACTAGCAAGCCATGTGTGATAAGAACCATCTGTTCTCGTGTGAACCACAAATATTAGGGTCCCACAGGACAAAGGGACGGCTAGCTAAGCTGAGCCACCATAAACTATGGGCACGGCTAAAATTTTCGTCCCATTATCATGCCTATTTCACTGAAAAATCAGGCTCCGTTTTTTCTTCGGAAGAGCCATGCTGTTTCCGACAGCCACCCTTCTAATAGGGGGCGCCACATAGGTTCACTGTTGTTTGGCCGGAATTTAAACTGACCAAACAGGTTTTTCCTCTTCCGAAATGGTGACATTGAAATAAAAATATTACCTTCAACATATTTACAAAATGGAAAGAAAGAACAAACACACATGTCCGCTATCATAGGGCTTTAGGTGCAAGACAAGTTACTATATGTATAACAACAACAAATTACAATTGGTTTATCGTAAATTTGAGGTCAATTATACAATTCTTTTGCTATAATAATATATTGTTTGTCTCTATTTTTATATGTTCGCCCCACTCCACAGAATAACTCAATTCGCATCGTTCTTTTTTCTTATTCTTCAATAACCAATTATCGTAATTTTCTAAATATAGATAAAAATTTAACCTATTAGAATAGAAATAATATAGCATATAATTTAGGAAAAATTGCAGCAAAAGTCCCAAATATTTTAAACACTAGTAGACTTTTCCCTAACCTTTCATTTGTTGCAACCGTCATCCCAAACGTTTTCAAACATTGCATTTGAGGCCCTTTTGGATGGAATCTATCCAAATTTTCGTTAGTTGACCTAAAAAAGTGGTTTTGGCCCGAAAAATTTATTTTGACTACATTTTACTCAATTTTAAAAGGGAAAAATAGTAATTTCATATTTTCTCCACCCACTCTCTCTCTCTCTCTCTCTCTGTTCCCGTTTTCTGTGAGAAAGAAGAAGACAAGCATTTAATCCACTTCACCTCAAAGATTGCAGCTATAAATATTGAATCGAGAATTTTTTACTTCATATTCATAATTTATTACAAAAGATCATCAATGCAATCCACAAATGGAAGGCTTAATCCCATTTCTCCTTCACGCCATCAAGAAACAGAGTTCGCAACCCTCATACCGCTGCCTCTCCGACAAATCCACACACACTTGATTAAACAAACAAACCTTAAAAAAAAAAAAAATTTTTTTTTTTTTTTTGCCCAAAAGTCCAGTGCGGGCATCTGCCCGCATTGGGCCTATAGTGGCTCCGCCCCTGGCTCCTCCCACCGCAGACCATGATCTGAATTTCAGAAGCCGTCGGAGGCGGTGGCCATTACCAATATGTCCCATACAAAAGAGCTGCACTCGGTGTCTCGTTCAGAAGCTAATAACGACTTTACACAAAGGGGTTTTGCTTCAACCACTAGTTTACTTACATATTAAGTTGACAAAAAAAATGGTTATTGTTGGAGTGACACACAGAAAACGGGAAGAAATAGGAAAGAGGGGAGAGAGAGAGAGCGTTATATATGTGCATTTTCTCACTCAAAAACAGAGTACCAGATTAGGACTGAAGTTTTTGGGAGAGAGAGAGAACGTGGGTGGAGAAAATATTAAATTACTAGTTTGCCCTTTTGAAATTGAGTAAAATGTGGTCAAAATTAATTTTTCTAGTCAAAATCACTTTTTTAGGTTAACTAACGAAAATTTGGACAGATTCCATCCAAAAGGGCCTCAGATGCAACGTTCGAAAAAGTTTGGGGTGAGGGTTGCAACAAATGAAAGGTTAGGGAAAAGTCTATTAGTGTTTAATAGGTTTGGGGCTTCTGCTGCAATTTTCCCTATAATTTATTGAAGTTAATTTCTCTTTTTTAATGTATATCTTGGTACGTGACTATTGCCATGTCCTATGGCGAAATCGGAGCGGGAAGACAAATATGGTACCTTCCCAAACCTGCCAAATTTTATATTTATAAATTTAAATCATATTTAAAAATTAAATAGTTAACTAAATGGGACGGTATATGAGGAGGTGTGAGTCGGGTGACCCGATCGACCCCGAGTCCTACCGTCTCATTGTTATCCCTACAAAATAAGAGAACCAAACATAATTGGAAAAAAAAAATAAAAAAAATACATAAGCGACAAAAATGAGCTAAAAATACCATGCGAACCCATTCGTTGAGCTGTAATTATGGGGGTATGTTGGTGTAAGCCTCAGTACCATACGCACTTGCAAGTAACGTGCATATTAGTCTCTCTCACACACACACACACCGTGTGTGTGTGATCAGAGAAAGGAGGATGATCTATCTTTTTTTTTTTTTTTTTGATATCCAGATATCTCAACTTACATCAGATTAAAAAAATTCTGGACCTTCAAGACCCATGCCCCTAAATCCTTGGAGGAGGTAAATCGCGGGATATGCCTCAACTGGATCACAGTTCCCCCCATTGACTGTACACTTCTGCGTACAAGAGACTCTTTTCCACAGTGATTGCTCCATACCAAATTTTTTGGCCGCAGGTTCCAACCAGGAATCGAACTCTCCACCCTGCCGCTGGAAGCAAGCCAATGTTGATTGATCCACCAGTTGAGCTGTGCCCCGGGGGACGGGGATGATCTCTCTTTGTATGCATGAGTGTGTTGAGATGAATATGTAGTGTGTTGTACAAGATTCGATAATACGGTGACTAAGGTTTTGGTTATTGATTTTTTCATTATTAGTGCTATTAAGGTTCTTACAAGGAATCTATCAAAAATTTCAATAGAACGAAGATCTTGTAAGACTGAAAGAATTTCTTAGGATGAACAAGAGACACTTATATAAGTGAGTCTCAAAAAATAGTGCTACGATCTTTAGTATAGAAATTGAGAAATTTCTACGAGTTTGTGTAATGGAGATAGTATCCCATTACTTATATTTGTGCATCTAAAAGTTGCTTCTTCTCCTCTAACTAGTTGTAACTCTAGAGGTAACATTGATACCCCTTCTCACTTTTACGTCATTTCTTCATAAATAGGTTCGAATATCCAAACCCTTTCAGTAGTTCTAGGTAGAGACCTACGAATACCGCTAGGACTTAAATGGTTTTTTTTTATTTCATATTGTTACCAATATACTACAATAAATGAAGATAAAATAAGAACTAAAGGGTTGAGATGTGAAAAGACAAAATCCTATGAGCAAGTTGCTAGTTCTATCTTCTCTTCTTGACTCTTTTTGGGTGTCTGACAACATCCCATAAGTAGTTCTCATTATGCCAATCCTAATATCTTATTCATTTTTTTTCATTCAATATTAATTCATTATTCACCGATAGAGAATATGCTAAAAAGATGTTCTTTTCCTCGCGTCATTTGTGTAAGTTTTTATAAATAGTAGTGTCAACCAACACCCAATAAATACAATCATCACACACATATATACACTAATTGAGTTCACAATAAAGTGAATCAACGGAGTTCATTGCTAACTTAAGTGTCGACACTGGTCATGACATCACCAACTGAAGATTGTTACAATCCCGATGTTAGAAGAGAGGGGTTGATAAGGATGGTCCAATGTATCTAGCAATTAAAATGAACTAATGTCGAAAAAGAATTCATACTATTTAAAGTTTATTGGATAACTCAATAAATATTTAAATATCAAATTTCTCTGAAATTTCATGCTCCCATTGTGCAGAATTCACATTGCTTACAGCCCCACCAAAGTACTGACCCATAAACCCTTATCTTTTCAAAACCACCACATCTACTGTCAACTGTTAAATCTGATGCATCACAAATATATTTTATTGCATTCTCCTTTAATCCAGCATGTTTTTAATTGCAGTATTCTCTTGTATGTATAAGCACATATTCATGAACCCTCTTTTCATTCTCCCTATATAAACATGTATTCAAACCAGCAAGTTACAAGGAATCAAGAATATTAACCCTACAACTGGCTGCAAGCTGCTAAGGTTTGGAGGGGGGAAAATCTTCAATAACTTTCTTTAGCATTTCTTCTTCTTTTTGTTGAGGGTTTAAATTCTATTCCTTAATCATTAGATTTTTTGATAAGTTCAACAGAATTCTGGCTTCACATACAGTTGAAGACATGAAGACGAGTTGGTTGTGCTTGATTTTGTTAACTATCTCATCTAAAAGCTTAATGTTTTAAAGAATGTCGAGTGTATTCATTTAAATCTTGTCTTAAATATGCCCCTCTTACACAATTTTCATATTGGTTGGTGTTAAGACCTAAAACTTAGGTCTTTTGCGCGACTTTGATATCAATTTAACCATCTCTTCTGGAGCAGGGTCATGAGAATTCATTCAGATCTTGCTTCAATAGATTAAATCGTGTTTCTTTCAGGGGAAGCATTCTACTGATATTCTTGAATCAGATGGAAAGTTTTGATTGGAATTATTCACCCAGTGTGACTAGGACTTCCTCCATATGGAGCAATCAGCAATATGATGTGGTTCAGCAGCTGAGGCCTGTGTTGGCCACTGGAATACATTTTAATTCGAACTGCAGGAATCTGTTTCATCAAGAAGCTGCAAAATCTGGGCCTGGTTCAAGTTGGAGAGAGATCATAAATGTAGACATTCCTTGCTCGACGACCCCAAAAAATGGCCTAATAACAGCCGATGTAGGCATTGGAAGCCATAGCCATCCAAAATCTGCCATTAATGGCTTCCAAGAGGTAAAAGCCGGAAGCTCAACAGGAACAGTCTCTCTGGATTCCTTAGATTGCTTTCTATCTACAACCAACAGCCACACAGACACATCGGTTGAAGACGATGGAATTTCCAAGGTTTTTTCTGATTGCAAGAACTCATGGAACGATTTCAGTACTGTTCATGCAGTTTCATCTGGAGCACCTGTATCTCATGTCTCCATTGGAAAACAGGAACGCAATAGCCACAGCCATACAAACCAGTTCAAAGAGACATTTTCACAAACACCCACAGATCAAAATGTCAACCAACCCAGATCTTCAAGCAAGAAGCTTTACACTACAAAGAGAAGCAATGCACAGAGTGAGCTCAAAGAAAGCCCAGCAAAACCCAAGAAGTCCAGATTAGACAAACATCCAAATATATCACACATCAATTTCCAGCAACATGTATCTTCATCTGAACCCGACTCAGCGGCCATGGCGCAAATGAAAGAGATGATGTACCGAGCAGCAGCATTTAAGCCGGTAATGCAAACCATCTCATCTAAAAACTTGAGCACTTGATGAAGAGTCACATGTATTCATTTAAACCTTATCTACCACAATTATCGGTCAGGTGCATAATTTTTTATACTGGATGATCTTACCTTAGCTTTGATACCAAATGTCAATAAACTCATCAAAAAGCTTAATCGGTCCGAGAATGATCCCGAGTATTTATATTCAATGTGTCCTTTACGTGCAAACTAGATTCAATTTTAATTGTCTTGCGCATAATTTTTCATTAATAAATGGCTACGAGATTTGAACCTATAAATTTAAATCTTGGTTTCAACAGGTGAATCTCACCATGGAGGCCATGGAGAAGCCCAAGAGGAAGAACATTAGAATATCAACAGACCCACAGACTGTGGCTGCAAGACGAAGGAGAGAAAGGATAGGTGAAAGAATTAGGGTTTTGCAGAGGCTGGTCCCAGGAGGTAACAAGATGGACACTGCATCAATGCTTGATGAAGCTGCTAATTATCTCAAATTCCTCAGATCACAAATCAAAGCACTAGAAGAATTAGGGCACAGTATGGGATCAGTGAATTTCCACCCTACAAATCTTGCCTACCTTCCATTCATAAACTCATTTGCCATGCAAACCAATTTTTGTTTCCAAAACCCTAACCCAAACCACCATTCCAAGACATAAGATGGTAAGTTAATGAGTATTTCTAATTAATTTTGTAGCCGAAAGTCAAGATACTTCACAAAAGAACACGAAGATGATCAATCATACGAGTTCTACAATTTTCTCATTGTAATCCAAGCTTATTCTCGGTAAATTTGAACATTATAAATTTTCTCCCGATTCTAGCTAGACAATTAGCGTGAAATACTGTCGATTTTGGCTTCATATTAATTGTCGCTATTGTCAAACTATATGTAAGTCATAATTGTGATCTTGTGGGTTGTTTTTTTTCATAATTCTCTTTTAGTCACTCATTGGTGTTAAAAATCTAAATTTTAGTAAATTTTGATTTTTTTGTGTTTTTATCAAAATTGTGTTAAATTTTGTGGGGGGGGGGGGGGGGGGGTTGCTGGGTTGGGCTATAGTCCCCCTCAGGCCCAATAACATTTTTTAAGGTGTTTTTTTTTTTTTGTGGTAAAAAATCAATCTTTTATGTTTAAATTTTTTTCCCCCAAAGTAGTAGTAGTCCAGTTTGAAATTTTGTAGCACGGTCTTTGATCCAATCCTAATCCGTCCCTGCATATACATGATGTCGTGTGAGACATGATTGAGTCATAATTTTTTTATTCTTTTTTTAACACTTCTTCTATATGATTCTATTATGTACAAATAACATTATTCTTTGACTGCATCAAAATGTCAACCAACCCAGATCTTCAAGCAAGAAGCTTTACACTACAAAGAGAAGCAATGCACAGAGTGAGCTCAAAGAAAGCCCAGCAAAATCCAAGAAGTCCAGATTAGATAAACATCCAAATATATCACACATCAATTTCCAGCAACATGTATCTTCATCTGAACCCGACTCAGCGGCCATGGCGCAAATGAAAGAGATGATGTACCGAGCAGCAGCATTTAAGCCGGTAATGCAAACCATCTCATCTAAAAACTTGAGCACTTGATGAAGAGTCACATGTATTCATTTAAACCTTATCTACCACAATTATCGGTCAGGTGCATAATTTTTTATACTGGATGATCTTACCTTAGCTTTGATACCAAATGTCAATAAACTCATCAAAAAGCTTAATCGGTCAGAGAATGATCCCGATCGAGTATTTATATTCAATGTGTCCTTTAAGTGCAAACTAGATTCAATTTTAATTGTCTTGCGCATAATTTTTCATTAATAAATGGCTACGAGATTTGAACCTATAAATTTAAATCTTGGTTTCAACAGGTGAATCTCACCATGGAGGCCATGGAGAAGCCCAAGAGGAAGAACATTAGAATATCAACAGACCCACAGACTGTGGCTGCAAGACGAAGGAGAGAAAGGATAGGTGAAAGAATTAGGGTTTTGCAGAGGCTGGTCCCAGGAGGTAACAAGATGGACACTGCATCAATGCTTGATGAAGCTGCTAATTATCTCAAATTCCTCAGATCACAAATCAAAGCACTAGAAGAATTAGGGCACAGTATGGGATCAGTGAATTTCCACCCTACAAATCTTGCCTACCTTCCATTCATAAACTCATTTGCCATGCAAACCAATTTTTGTTTCCAAAACCCTAACCCAAACCACCATTCCAAGACATAAGATGGTAAGTTAATGAGTATTTCTAATTAATTTTGTAGCCGAAAGTCAAGATACTTCACAAAAGAACACGAAGATGATCAATCATACGAGTTCTACAATTTTCTCATTGTAATCCAAGCTTATTCTCGGTAAATTTGAACATTATAAATTTTCTCCCGATTCTAGCTAGACAATTAGCGTGAAAAACTGTCGATTTTGGCTTCATATTAATTGTCGCTATTGTCAAACTATATGTAAGTCATAATTGTGATCTTGTGGGTTGTTTTTTTTCATAATTCTCTTTTAGTCACTCATTGGTGTTAAAAATCTAAATTTTAGTAAATTTTGATAAAAAGAAAAAAAAGTAATTAAATTTGTAGTTAAAAAGTTGATAAAAGTTACACATCTCATGAGATGTATAATTGTTGACGTTGATTTATATTTTTATCAATTTTTTGCTTTTAAATCAAATTGGATTTAATTATTGATTGTACTATTGTACACAATGATTTGCATATACATAGAGACCGGGGGGGGGGGGGGGGTGG